TTAAACAGAACTATTATTTCAACGGTTTTAGAGCCGGATTGCTTCTACTCCTTTCTACATTAGCATAAAAATAAATTATTGCATTTTGGGCAATATATTTATTTCTATTATTGTCAGAGACAAACTGTACACACTGTATCCTAAATATTTGATTTTACTACCTACTGTTAGTGTTCTGTTTTTATTACATTGCATTATTCATAAGTTTTTGAGACAGTTTGCTCATTTTCCTTGCACTGATATCTCATCTTCCTTTTTCTCCAGTGTGTAAAAAGGCTTTATTTAACTCATACCCTTTCCTCTGAAGTTAAAATGCACTGAATTAGCTTAGTATAAAACCAGGATTGAAACCAGTGTGAATGAAAGGACCAGTTATATATATATATATATATATATATATATATATATATATATATATATATATATATATATAATCTAATTAATTTTCGCTGAAGAATTCATGCTTAATTATTTAAAGAAAGACACCAAAGATAATATTAAGTAAAATGAGAGTTACACAACATCTCTGTTTACTGCTAGTTGGTTGAAGGCAATTGACAGAAGCCGTTTTGACTCAGGTTTCACGCTATTGGCTCTTGTCAGTACGGCGTATCTCGAAACTCGAGAAAACTGATATCCCGCCTGAGATTGAACCCGTATCGCCATGTGTTACACCATCCAACATCTATCAAAGTGTACGATAAAGGTTAGCCTTCTTACTCGGTAACCACACTGCAAGATGACTGATAGAATTGGGTCAGCATTTAGGACTAGACAACATGAAATTGGTTGCTCCTCAGTGACCAATCAATGGACAGAAGTTAGATCAAAATGTTAAAGTGGTCGAGAAATGCAATTTCTTTTTTATGATGGGTCATATTGTTGGAAAAAATTGAATAAGGTATGCATAATCAAGAATGTGTGCAAGCAAGGGTGTATACACGCACATGCACATTGCTTAACGACGAATAAAGTTTAGTTTTTTTACGAAAATTATTACTGCTAGTGGTCGAATGCATTCATAATGCTTTTCATTTAATATAATGCCAATTATTCGTGATCTACGAAAAGTAAACTTAGGTTACATTGTTAATGACACAGATCATCATTTCTCACAGAGATTTACAATTTTTCCTGTATAGACAGTGTATACATTACAGGCAGCGTGGATCTCGGATGAAATTCTTCATCCCCAAGTAATTATTTATGGCGGTTTTCAAATGAGAAGATGAACAAATTTGTTTGTACGTTCATGGTAAGCCTGAAAAATTTAAGTGTCTCAGAATGTGACCACTATGATTAGTACACATTTTCTAACCTGGTGCGAGTATCATTCAAACATATGGTCACTGTGTTATTTTATTTATTATTCCAAGACGCGAGAAGGGGCTAGTATCCTTATCAGTTGAAGAAACTAAGTTATATGAAGGAAGCGTGCAGTGTTAGGCATGGCAACACTTGTTAACTTACAGGCACAATTCAAATAGACACGTGAGGTTTAGCTGCCAAAACTCAAGTAACAAGATGAACTCTGAAAGTA